TCCCAAGCCAAGGTCAGATGATTGTGTAAAAAGGAAAGATCTATAGTAAACTAGATTACCTTACAATTATAAATTAGTGTTCATCCCAGATCAGAACTGTTGGGATAAAACAGTAAAGAGATTACGTGAAGAGAAGCAAATGTATGATAGCTTGAGGAACAGTTCCTAAATGTTGAAGTAACAAGTGACTTAAATATAGCTAGGCATTAGATACAGGGACTCTGATGTGAGTATTATACAGATGTGTTTTGGGTATTATATAAGCAGCTTTAGAGATAGTCGGAACTGCAGATGCTGGAGAATCTGAGATAACAGGGTGTAGAGCTGGATGAACACAGCAGGCCAAGCAGCATCAGAGGAGCAGGAAGGCTGACGTTTCGGGCCTAGACCCTTCTTCAGAAATGGGGGAGGGGAAGGGCGTTCTGAAATAAACAGAGAGAGACCGGGAGGCGGATAGAAGATGGATAGAGGAGAAGATAGGTGGAGAGGAGACAGACCGGTCAAAGAGGCGGGGATGGAGCCAGTAAAGGTGAGTGTAGGTGGGGAGGTAGGGAGGAGATAGGTCAGTCCAGGGAGGACGGACAGGTCAAGGGGGCGGGATGAGGTTAGTAGGTAGGAGATGGGGCTGGGGCTTGAGGTGGGAGGAAGGACAGGTTAGGGAGGCGGGGACGAGCTGGGCTGCTTTTGGGATGCGGTCGGGCGAGGGGAGATTTTGAAGCTTGTGAAGTCCACATTGATATCATTGGGCTGCAGGGTTCCCAAGCGGAATATGAGTTGCTGTTCCTGCAACCTTTGGGTAGCATTGTTGTGGCACTGCAGGAGGCCCAGGATGGACATGTCATCTGAGGAATGGGAGGGGGAGTTGAAATGGTTCGCGACTGGGAATGGTCCCCGCCTGTTTGACCTGTCTGTCTCCTCTCCACCTACCTTCTCCTCTATCCATCTTCTATCCGCCTCCTGGTCTCTCCCTATTTATTTCAGAACCCCCTTCCCCTCCCCCATTTCTGAGGAAGGGTCTAGGCCCGAAACGTCAGCCTTCCTGCTCCTCTGATGCTGGTTGGCCTGCTGTGTTCATCCAGCTCTATACCTTGTTATCTCATATAAGCTGCTTTGTTTCTTTACAGTTTATAAAGGAAGGTTGTGGGATTAATGGTATTATGCTTTTACTGTTTAACAATATTTGAATTTGTACTATAAGTAGATAAAATGAAATAATCCAAACTGTCTTCATTTCGTTTGTTAATAAATTTCCATTTTATTGTTAAAGCAAAATCTGCAGCATTCATGCTTATGTTTCAGCATTTTGTTAAAATCAAAGGAAATAAAAATATGACTTATCAGGCCAGGTTTGTCTGGAATTTGATTCATCCAGTAATGACATCAGCTGGGATCATAACAATGTAAATTTATCCAGTACGAAAAACGCCTGTTCAGCCCCATCTTCTCATCACAGATGGAAGCAAAGTACTCGATTGTTACATTAGCTCTGCTGTCTTTCTTCATGCATGATTGGCCCATCCTCTCCTTACTACCACTTTACTATTTCTATGCCTAGTGAGGGCTTTTAGATTTCCTTCTGGGTTAGATGGCAGTCTCAGCTTCTTTTATTTCTTTTTTCACTTCGCTTATGAACTTTCTCGTGGTTAACACAAATTATCAATATGACATTTTTCAAATGCTTCCTTTTTCTCCATCTTCTTCCCTGTTTTGTCATCCAGACATCTCTGCATTCGTTGTGCTATTCGTCCTCCTCGTGGGCATGTTCCTCGACTGCACCAAAACTTTCATTACTTGAAAGGCAATCCATTATTCTGTTAGTTTTGGCTGCCAATCTACTGATTCCAATTTTCCTAGTCCAGATCTGCTCCCACCCATCTGAAATTCTGTCTCCTCCAATGAAGTATTGTTTCTCCAGATTCGTCCATTTTCTGCAATTAACCTAAAACTTAGGATGTTATGATCACTTTCCCTGAGTGTTGCTCTACTGACAGTTGATCCACTTGCAGTTGTAGAATCATACAGCACAGAAACAGACCCTTCAGTTCAACTCATCCATGCCGACCAGATATCCAAAAAAATCTAGTCCCATTTGCCAGCATTTGGCCCATATCCCTCTAAATCCTTCCTATTCATATATCCATCCAGATGCCTTTTAAATGTTGTAATTGTACCATCCTCCACCACTTTCTCTGGCAGCTCTTTCCATACACACAGCACCCTATGCGTGAAAAAGTTGTCCCTTAGGCCCCTTTTAAATCTTTGCCCTCTCAACGTAAACCTATGCTGTCTAGTTTTGGACTCCCCCCACCCCAGGGAGAAAACCATGCCTAATTACCCTTTCCATGCCTCTCATGATTTAATAAACCTCTATAAGGTCACCCCTCAGCCTCCAACACGCCAGAGAAAACAGGGAGGATTGCTTTTCGGATTGGAGGTCTGTGACCGGCGGTATGCCACTTGACCCACTTTATTCCTTGTATCTCAATCCAGAAATACTTATGTAATCATTGGATCGCCAAAATACTGATTTAAAAAATTATTCTTGAACACACTTCAGTGAACTCTTCGTCCTTTCTTCCCTTTTCATTATTAGTATCTCAGTCTATATTAGGATAATTAAAGTCCCTCGTTATCACCAGTCTATAGTTTGCACACTTCTGTATATCAGTAATGGCTACATTTGGAAGCATTCTTGCCTCTGCTTCATCAGGTTCCAAATTCAAGTCCCATTCCATGATTTGAATACAGATATCAAAATTGACTCCTCTATTCCAGTACTGAGGACATACTGCACTATTAGAGGTGCCATCTTTTCAGTGAGACTTTAAACCAAAGTCCTCAAATGGATGTAAAAGATTCCATGGCATTATTAAAGAGTAGTGGAGAAATCCCTAATGTCTTGGCGAACGTTTGTCTCCAGTGAATATTACAAAAATACAAATTTATGTTGTCATTATCACATTGCAGTTTTTAAAAGATTGCTATCTGCAAATTGCCTCCATATTTCCTATATCACTTCAAACATTTTTCATTGGTTGTAAAGAGCTTTAAGGTATCCATTGGATACAAAGGCTTATAGGAATGCAAGTCTTGGTTTCTCTGTAACTTCCTGCAAATATGTACCATCGTATCTTTCCCAACAATTGGGGGTCTATCAATTTAGTTAGTGCTTTGAAGTCTAATGCATGCCTGAAAACTACTAACTACCTGTATCGTTTGTTCTTTTCTTCCTTCAACCTCTGTATAATATTCCTCCTCCTTGTGCGAGGAACGCAAAACACCATATCGATCTAGTGGTTGGAACTGCAAATTATGCCACCATTGTTTCTGACTATAGTACACTGCGTTTTGTCCTTTGTTTTGCAGCTTTTGTCTCCTTGCCTCATGCATCCTTTATCACTGCCACAACATTTAAAACCTCCAGGAATTGCTATTGTAATCTTCCTCTCAATTTTCGAAAATCATGTAGCTTTGACCAGCTCAACAAAGCTGGAAATTTTCTGTAGCTGTTTTGCCTGCACTGTTCGTGAGCTAGTCTGTCTTAAACTGTTCTCATTTGGCAGTCTGCCTCTTTGATGTGAAGGATTACCGGACCATTAATCCATATTGCAGAGTGAGAAGTTTGTCATCAATGTTAGGATCAAGAAAGAAAGTTACTCCCTCAAATCTAACACAGTTATAAGTTTCTGAAAGGTCTTAATTCCTGCACCGAAATGCTATTGGATTCTTTTGCTCTATTTCTAGTGTTTGATGTTTGCTTTGGTCTGAGTATTCCTTTGTTCAAGTACCAAGTTGTTATTCATTTGTCTGTGATAGCTGCTCTCCATTAGTCACTACTGGTCACTAATCATGTGAACATGTAGATGCTGTGGCAGGATAGATTTAAAATTCATTAAATGCCATGTTTGAATCATCTACCCGCGTTCAATTTTCAGACTTACTAATGGAAAATGATAATCAAATGAGACTATAGTAAAGTGATAGTTTTGAGTTCAAATGTGGATATTTCTTCGTAAGTTGCAGTTAGTTGCAGAAATTATTATCATCATTCTTTTTCTCTATAACTTCCTCAGTCATCAGCGTTCTTTTTCTGGTAAGCTGTTGTGGCCTCTATAATTTGAAATCAGTGTTGATTTCACATTCCCAAAATTAGATTTTGTTGCAGTTACAAAACAATATTTTCAAAAAGAAGGAAACGAGTGGGATCTGTAACTTGGAAGCTGCTAGCAGTTGCCCTCCAAATGGCATCACTTTAAAAGCAGCTCCAAGTAGCTGGAAGTATGTACTTGTAAGCAAATGTTCCTACGTATACTATTTGAATGGAAACCTTAAAGGGACAAGGCCAATTTAGTTACTTATTGCAACAGCTGTGCTATAAAATGTAATCCAATTTAAGAGAAAGAAATGGGAAAAGAAAGCCTTCCATGCCCTTAGAAAGTCCAAAGTGCTCCATCGTAACTAATTCGTTTGACAGTTTAGATGCATCATTGCCGTTCAGTGGAAGGGGAAATTTAATACACAGTTATGCGACACAAGTGCTGCTGTATTCTTATGACTTAATGACATTTTGGTGAGAGTTAAGTCATCCAGGTATATATTTATGAAGCAAGTAAGGAGGCTTCAGTAGCTCAGCTTTGTTCGTGACAGTCTTGTTTTTCACTTTAGACAATGATTATAAATACTAAAACAGTCTGATTTTCCATCTCACTTTCAAAACAAAATCTGAAACCTTGGGTATTTACAAAAAGAATAAAACCAAGAGGTTTCACCGTTTAAAAACATAAGAATTCTTATTATACAAGAGTCAGACAAAGCAAACACTAAATACTATCTTCGCTAACAATCGATGACTGTACAACGAAGAATAGCCATAATTGTAAATTATACATTCGTCAGCAGATATAATCAAGATAAATCTTATGACTTGACTTCCTTAAGAAGTAACCCCCCTTTTTCATAGAATCCTAGAATCCCTGCAGTGTGAAAGCAGACCATTCGGCCATCGAGTCCTCACCAACCCTCTGAAGATCCAGATGAATCAGCAATAGACTTAACCTGTTACATACCTAGCAGCATGCAAGATTTTAAATGTACTTTCTTACCTTCCTGTTACAGTGCCATCGAATTCATCGCACTTTAGCAAGCCAGTTCAAATATGCACTTGTATGGGTGAGCATATTAATATTCTACATTGAATTGAAAATTTACAGTATTTTGAGATTTGCTCACTTCTGAAATAAATTTTCCACTAATGAAGAATATCCTTTCTGTCAATTCTAGGGAACAAGTACAAAGTATAGTCCTCAACGAGTGGGCCTGACTCACATAATGGAACACGAGGACGTAATCCAAATTGTCAAGAAGTAAATAGTGATCCATGTTGCGCAATGAGCTGCAGTATATCACCAACCTTCCCTTTCGCTTGCACAACAGGCAATGTGAAAATGGACTACTTAAAAATTGTAATGAAAACATTGTGTTAAACTGCCAATAGAAATGGTTTGCTATGGCAGCCCTTTCATATCAAATATACAGTGATTCTGGTATTCTGATAATTGACTGTTAAAACGAAAGCATGTGCCGGCTATAAAGGCCTATACTATACTTCATGGCTCGTACTCAAATCGTAGCACCCCTTTACTTGCAACACCTATTAGTTTATTACTGTAATATTTCTGTATTGCAGAAGACTGACAGTATTTCCATTATTAATCTACTGAAAAATATCCAGCTAATGTGCGATCTACAATAATTCAAATTTTTATATGTTCGAATGAAGATGAGATCCAGTTGTTTGGGCAACAGCTTTAATCAGGTGCTTTAGTTAATTTGGTATTCTCTTTCCTCATAATTACAGATCAGAGCTTACATCTTCCTATACCAATACGAAAACAAAAAAGCGTTTGTCCAGTTGGTCCCTTTTTTGTTTCTTTTTGTACTTTTTCCCCCCTCCATAGTTTACATAAAAAGAGGTGCAATCCTTAATTTTCTTTTTTCCTGTAAGTTGTTGACACTGGCACTTTGGTACTTAAGACATTCATTGTGAGATGAGGGAATGAATATCAGCGTGATGTTCGACCAATGGAGGATTTCATTGCCAAGTCTATACCATATCCTTGCAAGAGACATAGCTGCACTTTTCCAGGAAATCTCGGGATAATAAGCAACATGGTTTGCGTGCCACTCAGTTGGTGCGCTGGCATCAATTTAAAAGCTGCATGAGCTTGACAGCTGATCAAAGGAGAAAAAGTAAGAGCTGGGCTCAGAGTTTGTGGTTCTTTCTATCACAGCTTTTCTTTTGAATGGCATCACTATAAGTGCACAACAGCAATTGACACTAAATAGGTTGATTAAACTTATGGTTCTCTTAATTATTTGATAAGTTTGAAAACATTCTAATTCTGTATGGATCAATATATTGGGCTTGCTGTGGAACTTCGAGAATTCTATTGTCAGAAGGTTGTTGAATTCACAAGTATTCAGAAAATTGATGATCCAGGAGATTGAGCCACATTTTGAAGAAAAACTAACAGAAATAAACGTGTTCACCGGAGAGAAGATTGAGAAGAGATTTCACGCAAATCAGAAGCATAGATAATGTTGATGTGAGTTGGATATTTAACATTGACTTTGAATATACAACCAGAGGACTTCTGTTCAGAATCAGCATACTCCAAGTATGGTTTAAGCAGTCGAGTTGATCGTCTTGCAAAAACAAATCAGTAAATGTTGTTAGGAATGAGATGAAGTATTAAAGGTTTGGAGATGTAAGTAAACCAGAATGTTACAAAGTTGGAATTGCTTGTTTCTGTGATTAAAAGGTAGACTGTCATTTTGGTCATATCAAAGTAGTATCCTTTATTGTTTTGTTTGTTAAATTATGAAAATTGTGTTTATCTGTAAACTGGTTTGTACAATAGGCTGCGGTACATTGTGATGCACTCCAAACAGAAGACAAACTTGAAGTCTTCTGCTACAGCTAAGAATTTTAAGGGGTCATCTGATGGGAATGTTCAAGATTGCAAATATCATTGAGAAATGTTTTTTACATATCTACAGTACCTTTTATGATACATGTCAGGTTGCTTCATAGTCATTGAAATCTTTTAGATGTTTAGTCACTGCTGTAGTTCAGGAAAATGTGCACATTTAAATTTTATTTGTGCGCATCAACAGAACAAATGAGTAGGTAATCTATATTTTCAATATTGTTTGGTTGAGCTATGAATGCAGCTCACTAGGTAACTGAAAATGTCACCATCTCTCAGTCTTTCTCCTCTTATCCAAATTGAATTGTTTTGTTTATGGTTTTATTTAGACTAGGCTTTGGTCCAAAGGTAGATTAGTGGACAGTTTACTCGTATTAACCACAAGCATGAAATTGAAATTGACCATCATTCGTCATTCATTGCGAAATATATTATTGAAATGCACACTAGTCTGTTTAACACTTGGCTTTGGAAATTGGAAACTGGGTTCAACTCTGTAAATCTTCAGATGTGGGATGCATATGACATGTACCCTAGAGATTGGAAGAAGTCAGAAAAAGGAGACAGTTTGATTATAATTCTTCAAGGTATCTTTAGCTGCAAGTTAGTACAACAGTTGGGGTACAATGAATGAATATGGTAATTGTATACCTATTTAGCTGAATGTTAGTTGTGCCCACATGCTTAGAATCTAGAAATGGAATTTAAACAAGAGAAGCATGGAAATGTCCGAGACAGTTGAAGATGACGAAAATTGATTTTTGTATTGAAGGCATATCAAGCTTAAGAAAGATCATCAGTTTATATATGTATTTATCTTGAACATTCGCGTCATCTGTATTCATTTTATATGTGGATGCTCATGGTGTATTTTCCCCAGTTAAATATTGCATGACTGAAACAATCTTTTTTGGCCCTTCTACAACTCAATTTTGCTAGCAATCCCACTCATTTCTGGCAACTATTTCGATTTGAAAAAGTATGATAAGTTGTACACCCTGTTTTGATCTGAAGCTGCCCTTTCAATGTCATATCTCCTGCATTACATTGATCAACTGCTTCCTCCTCTGTAAAATTGCCCACCTCCCCTGTACCTCACCCTATTTTCTACTAAGTTCCCATTCTTGCTTTTGTCAACTCCATCTTTGTTTATTCCAGTATGCCTTGTTGGCCTCGCATTTTCCATTTCAGATCATCTGAAACTCTGCCATCTGTAGTGAGAGGAAGAACTGAGAAATAGTGCTGGGAAAATTGTTGGGATTGTAGGCCAATAAATCCCCAAGGCCTGATAATCCAGAGTATTTAAGGAAGTAGCTCTAGAAATAGTGAATGAATTGGTGGTCATCTTCCAGGATTCTGTAGACTCTGGAATAGTCCCTGCAGATTGGAGAGTGGCTAATGTCATTCTAATATTCAAAAAGGCAGGTAAAGAGAAAAGAGGGAATTATAGACCAGTGAGCCTAACCTCTGCAGTGGGGAATATTCTCAAATCTGTTGTCAAGGATTTTATAGCAGAGCATTTAGAAAGCAGTGGCTGGATCAGACAGAGTAACCGTGGATTTATGAAGGGGAAATCATGTTTGAGAAATCTGTTGGAGTCCTTTGAAGATGTAACTAGTAGAGTTGACCGGGTTTGGGGGGGGAGTGGTGGCTAGTTGATGTACTATATTTGGACTTTCAGAAAGTGTTTAACAAAGTCCCACATAAGAGATTAATGTGCAAGATTAAAGTGCATGGGACTGGGGGAAGTGTATTGAGATGGATAGGAAACTGGTTGGCAGAGAGGAAACAGTAGGAATTAATGGGTCCTTTTCAAATTGGCAGCCAGTGGGGTGCCACAGGGATCGGTGCTGGGACCCCAGCTATTCACAATATATATTAACGATTCGGACGAGGGAACAAAATGTAACATTTCCAAGTTTGCAGATGATGTGAAGTTGGGTGGGAGGATGAACTGTGACAAGGATGCAGAGATCCTTCAGCATTATCTGGACAGGTTGGGTGCATGGGCAAATCAATGGCAGATGCAGTATAATTTGGATAAATGTGAGGTTATTCACTTCAGAAGCAAAAACAAGAAGGCAGATTACTACCTGAGTGACTGTAAATTAGGAGGAGGCATGTGCAGTGAGACTTGGGCGTCCTTGTGCACCAGTCGCTGACGGTAAGTATGCAGGTGCAGCAGGTGGTAAAGAAGGCAAACGGTATGTTGGCCTTTATTGCGAGAGGTTTTGAGTACAGGAGCAGGGATGTTTTGTTGCAGTTGTTACAGGGTCTTGGTGAGACCACACCTTGAATATGGTGTGCAATTTTGATCTCCTTTTTTGAGGAAAGATGCTCTTGTTCACAAGGGAGTGCAGCGAAAGTTTACCAGGCTGATTCCGGGGATGGTGGGTCTGACATGTGAGGAAAGATTGACCAGGTTGGGATTGTTTTCACGAGAGTTCAGATGAATGACAGGGGAATTTCAAAGAGACTTATAAAATTCTAACAGGACTGGACAGGGTAGATGCAGGGAGGAAGTTCCCGATGGTGGGTGTGTACAGAACCAGGGGTCACAGTATGAGGATTCAGGATAGACGATTTAGGATGGAGATGAGACATTTCTTCACCTAAAGAGTGATGAGCCTGTGGAGTTCATTACCACAGGAAGTGGTTGATGCCAAAACATTGAATGAATTCAAGAGGTGACTTGATATAGTCTCGGGGCGAATGGGATCAAAGGTTATGGGGAGAAAGCAGGATTAGGTTATTGAGTTGGACGATCAGCCATGATTGTGAAGAATGGAGGAGCAGACTCGAAGGGCGGAATGGTGGCCTTGTGCTCCTATCTTCTATGTTTCTATATACTCAATCCTGCTCACACTTTCCTGGCTTCCATTTACTCTATCTATCTCTCAATGGTTCTTAAGTTTTCATTGTAATAATTAAATCCTTTCATAATGTTGCTTATCTGTATATTGTCATATAGCTTTCCAACCACTATCCTCTCTCTCTCTCTCTCTCTCTCTCTCTCACACACACACACACACATTAAGAACAAAAAAAAGTTTGAAAAATGTACATGAACTGAAACCCTTCAAGGTTCACTGACATATCATCATCAGCTGTTTGTCTCTCCACAGATATTGCCACATTTGCTGACTATTTCCAGCATTTCTTGTTTTTATTTCTCAATTTTCAGGATCTATGGTATTTTGCTCATGTCAAATATGTAATTCCCTGAACTTGGGTGCAAATGAAAACAATAAAAAAGAGGCCATCAGCATTTTGGGTTTTAACAACAAATAGAGTATGAAAGCAAAAAGATGATATATTTGCAAAAAGCAGCAGTTAAACCTTTGTCATTGTATGTACAAAACTGCACATAAAAACTAAGTACGTTAAATCCGTAGAAAACATACTCGAGTCAGGTGTAGAGCTGGATGAACACAGCAGGCCAAGCAGCATCAGAGGAGCAGGAAGGCTGACGTTTCAGGCCTAGACCCTTCTTCAGAAAGACCCTCCTTCTGAAGAAGGGTCTAGGCCAGAAACATCAGTCTTCCTGCTCCTCTGATGCTGTTTGGCCTGCTGTGTTCATCCAGCTCTACACCT